ATTTATTTATAGAAATGCTTTGGAAAATGGATTTAGTTATCTAGATCTTATTAAGGGAAGTTAGATGACAAACTCATTGGCTTGACGAAGTCTTGTCGTTAAGTCATCCTGAAATCAACATTCAAGTAGTATTATTAGTATAAATATGTTAGCTGATCCATAACAAAATTGACTCCAAAACACTGATAACATTTGCATTTACAAAATTGTCATTATTTCACACTTAACCAAGTGTTTACTGTGTGTGTGTCATGTTTTCATTGGTTGATTTAGTCAAGTGTCTTGTTCTTCATTGGTTTCCCTCATCACGTGTCTTGTTTCATGTCATGTGGTCCTTAGTGTTTGATATAAATACCCTTGTTCTTGGTGTAGGTTTGTTTGTGTAACCTCTGTGGTGAGTTTGTTGGGTTTTTGCTTTGCCGTGTCAAGCCATGAGTTAGTGGTGGGCAGAGCGAGGCTTGATAAAACACTGAAACAGTTGAAGCAAATGTGTCGAAGCTTCGTAACAATTTGAAACATCTTTACAGTGATTTTATGTATTGCTCTGGAACAGCTTCAGCAAAGAAACGGTTATGAAAATTAAGGAATTATACCCCATGTTGTTGTCTAATTAAGGTTACAAGTGATTTAGTGAAGCGGAAAGAGTTCCACACTAGCATGGCGAGATCATGTATTCGAATCCAGGGTGATGCAGCGGTAGACATTAGTTAAATACTCTGTTCTTATAATGTTTTAACATTGGTCTGACATCTGAATAAACCCTTATGTTTTGTTTTGATTATAAAGAATGGCATTATTAAAATGCATCAAGTGACAATCTCTGAGTATTTGTACAAGTAGGGATTTAAACTCATGACATTTGCAGCACAGTTAGTCTGTGCACTTGCACAGTCCACTAGGCTACATGAGATAGAGGATTTTTCCAACCCTGTCAGTCAAACACAGATTCACCAGGTCTGGAAGCGCTTATGAAATGTCTGATGCTTGGAATTACTTTAGTCACGTAACCTGGGTGTTTTGAATCACTTTAGTCACATGACCTAGGTGTTTTGAATCACGTTAGTCACGTGACCTGGGTGTTTCGAATCACTTTTAGTCACGTGACCTGGGTGTTTCGAATCACTTTAGTCACGTGACCTGGGTGTTTCGAATCACTTTTGTCACGTGACCTGGATGTTTCGAATCACTTTAGTCACGTGACCTGTGTGTTTCAAATCACTTTAGTTATGTGACCTGGGTGTTTCGAATCACTTTAGTTATGTGACCTGGGTGTTTCGAATCACTTTAGTCACGTGACCTGGGTGTTTCGAATCACTTTTGTCACGTGACCTGGGTGTTTTGAATCACTTTAGTCACATGACCTAGGTGTTTTGAATCACGTTAGTCACGTGACCTGGGTGTTTCGAATCACTTTTAGTCACGTGACCTGGGTGTTTCGAATCACTTTAGTCACGTGACCTGGGTGTTTCGAATCACTTTTGTCACGTGACCTGGATGTTTCGAATCACTTTAGTCACGTGACCTGATTTCGAATCACTTTAGTTATGTGACCTGGGTGTTTCGAATCACTTTAGTTATGTGACCTGGGTGTTTCAAATCACTTTAGTCACGTGACCTGTGTGTTTCAAATCACTTTAGTTATGTGACCTGGGTGTTTCGAATCACTTTAGTTATGTGACCTGGGTGTTTCGAATCACTTTTGTCATGTGACCTGGGTGTTTCGAATCACTTTAGTCACGTGACCTGGGTGTTTCGAATCACTTTTGTCACGTGACCTGGATGTTTCGAATCACTTTAGTCACGTGACCTGGTTGTTTCGGATCATGCTTCGGTGCAGTGTTTTGAAACGTGCGCTTCAGGATCTTGACATTGTGTTAAAATGTTAGTTTCACGTCAGCGATCCCTACTATGAGTTTATTTTGGGTTAAATTAATGTTTTGAATTCATGCCAAGTTTAGAGTTTTTGTTTTGCACTTTTTGTAAATGAACTGCAATTGGGTTCTCTACGCTAACCTTCAGTGGACTTTCATTGCAAACAATAACATGGAAACTCCAGATAAAACATTTATATTATTATTTCACCAAATGTTTTAAGCTAAATAAAATATTATTCCATTAAAATCTCAAAATACTATGTCAGGTGTGTATTCTACATATTTTCTGACATTAATATAGCATGGATAAAATTAGACTTCTATGAGACGGCAGAGATATCACAAAATCCCCAGGGTTATTTCCTTCAAAACAAATTAACATAAACAACAACAACAACAACAACAACTCACTTTGTTGCCTTATCTTTCTGGAACCAGTCAAATAGACACACACACCACAACCAGACAAGCACATATCCAATCACAAACAGGAATCCACTGCCAAGCACCTCCTTTTTTCTGGAACTGATCTGTGATGGATTCTTAAAACAGATGAAGAGCAGCACAGCTTCAATGAACATCCACACAAACCACAAATTTCTCCAAGGTGAACACGTTTAACATATAAATTAAGTTATATTAAGTCATGGTACGATATGTACCTCAGTTTTGGTATCACACTTCAATATGGCTATAATACAACAGGAATAAGCAACAAATCCTGCACCACATTGTTTAAATAGCAAATGCATCTGCACCACTTTGTGCACTCATGGACATGCTGGTGTGAAAAGGAGACGTGTAGAGGCACACTGTTGACATTTTATGGCAACTGAAATATACCATTGACCACCTAAATGCTAGTCTAAAGTCAATGGTGCAGTTTATTTGTGTTATTTAATCATAGATATATACACTAGATATCGCATAGGGACCCTAAGCATGCGTCAATAGCGCCGCCACATTGGTACAGTGCTCCAAGGACAAATGTCATTCAACCGCACTAGTCAAGACAGTGTTATTACGTGAAGATGCTGTACTTTAGTGCTGTCTACGGGTGTATTCATTCATTCACAAACGAATCGCTCCCTCCGTCAGTATGAGAAGTGAAAGCAGGAGAGGAGCTGTGTTTCAGGACATGATTAGATCAAATTTAACAGGGAGGGTGAATAGTACATTTCTGTACACACAAACACAAGCTTTTTGTCAGGAATGCCCGTGCGGTCACTGATCCATCAATGTAGAAAAGTGATGTAAAATTATAATTTTCGTAATTAGAAAAAAAAAATTACATACTAACATCGAGGAAAACTCCCGATCACAGATATATGTGTATATGTGTATATCTCTGGCTTTGGATGGCCACAGTCCTCCACTGTACCTTGGTCCCGCATTCATTTCAAAGGAGCGCTACCCTGTAGCAAGATGGCGGCGCTATTGACGCATTCCGTCCAATAGACCACAATAGGCCAGGCGACATCTAGTGTATATATTTATGTTATTTAATAAGCATTTAAAAGATTATTACAGGCTACATAAATTTAAAATCCACTATTTCCTCCCACGCCTTCACCCCAGGAGGCTTTGGTGAATCTGATTCATTCTGTAGATGGTCTGCTCTCTTTAACCTCACACACCAGCTGACCCGTTCCCTCGCTAGTGAAGCGTTCAGTTTTTCTGCTTACAAAGTTCATCCATGTAAAAAGCGAATAAAGGGAACGGCATATGAGACTCTGACTGGTTTAATGCACGTCACACCCAAAACACATCCATAACTCACTAAGAGAATAAGGCCAACCCTTTATGACCATGCGCCGGGTTCAAAGACCATTTCCCCATCATTAAAGTACTTAAAATGGACTCATGGATCATTGGAAATTGAGCTCCTGATGTCTTAATGTTTCTTGGGGAATGTTTGGTTCATTAAAGGGTCCAGTCATGCAGTATTAAAACACACAAGGATGAAGAATACTCTTGTTTATGTTGACACATTGTGCTGGACAATGGCAAGAAAGGTGAGGAACATAAAAGTGTTGTCCAGAACTGTCCGGGAAAGTAAAATGGAGGGGAAGCTAAAAACAAAAAACACACAAACACATATCCGAAATAGCAGAAATGCAATAATATTAAAAAACGATTGCATTTTGTTGCAGGCAGGGCTTTACATTAACACCCGCCAAATGCGGGTAGATTTCAGCTTTGGTGGGTTGGACAGACGCTCCCACTAGCCACTTTGGCAGGTTGGAAATAGTTTTTACAATGTAGTTTTCTCAAAGCAGGGTTTGAATAAGGATGGCCCGCTTTTTTTCCATTCACTTGCGATCGGTTCTCTTTGAAAAAGACTAGACAAAAAAAATCGATGCTCGTGTACCCACAGTCCTGCTGCTTTTAAGAGCTCAAGATTGGAAAATAAATATATTTGTAAGCAGCAGCAGCAGCAGTCACTGCATTCGTTTTAATTATGCTCAGGCACATGATCATCCTTTCATTATCACTCGTGGTGTGTTTTTACCTGCTTTCTTTTGCTTATTTTTGTTAATATAGTTTAATTATCATCCTTTACAATAACATTTCTTTAATATGAGATTAACTCCCCATTTGTGTGTCGTAACCGGTGATCTGGGACCTTTAGCCAGGACAGATTACTGTGCATATTTTAGATGCATGACAGTAGATCTTTTTAAATGTTAATTAAAAAAAAAAGTTTTGTTGAATAAAATGCATGTATACAGCTATATATTTGCTTGTTTTGACACATTTAAATATGTGCCAAAGAAATAATTATTTCTTTTTGGTGTGGTCAGAGATCAATTTGATAAAACCTTTATTCTGAGCCCTAAAAAAGTCATGTGAAACAAAACCAATTGCAGTGCAACACAACCCATTTGCTCATGCACAGTGAGCAAGCTCATACACAACACACACAAACAGTGAAATAAAAGGGGAGGCATGTGGACAACACAACATCTAAATCAAGTCATTTTAACATGTCAAAGTCACATTTGTTTATATAAAATATATTTTCCAAACAACAAAATTGTGGCTAGTGAAAATGGCAAGTGGTTAGTAACGTTGGAAATCTACTAGTCACAGTGGCTGGTGATCAAAAAAGTTAATGTAAAGCCCTGGTTGCAGGTATTTAATGAAAAATTACAGTGAAATTGCTAGTTAGGTCTTGAAATTCCCATGGCATATGAAAGGTTATGTGAGATATGCATTGGCATGTTGTGTAGCCTGTTAGTTGAGGATTGGATGTGTCTGCAGCCGCGGAATATTGAAAATAATCAAGTTCAAACTTATTTGTCTGTAAATTACAATATTTATTGAATGATGTCTTCAAAACTTTAAGCTAATTGAGCTTTTAGCTGTAATGTTCATTATGCAAAAACAATAGTCAAGCATAACAATGGAGAAATATTAAGGAGCAAACCACCCTCATGATAATATTTAACACATCCTAAATACAAGTCAGAACTCTTTGAAGTGAACAAAAGCTTTTAGATTTAGTTATAAAATATTCTTACCCTTCACCCAGTAATCTTAAATTCAGTGTTTAGAGATTAAAGAGGAGTCAATGCTTAACATCAAAAGTACTGTCAGCTGTAATATTAAGTGTCTTATGCATCACATTTCTCTATCATTTTCAAAAGGAACTGAAATTATGACATTTAGTAACATAACTCCATTTTAAAATCATGTGTGTAAATTATGGTACTTCATATTCCCTGTACACGATGCTGCAGTCCTCAGTTTTCTTTGCATCCAGAGCACAGACATTTGAAGCACCTCCAGTACTGCTGCCTGATCTGGACAGGAATGAGAAAGTTCTGGAGATCAGTTTAACCTTTTATACATCACGACCAGTGTTGTGCAAGTTACTTCCAAACTGTAATACATTACATATTACTTATTACTTTTATTTTAATGTAATCCCTTACCTTACAATATTACTGTCTCAGAATTGTAATATGTTACATTACTCTTATATTACTTTTTAGTTACTTTCACCAAAATAACTACAGAATTAGAACTTCACATTATAAAATTCTATAATGTTCTATAATGAGCATTTTACATCCAGTAGAAAGTGATTTGATGTAGCAGAATGACTGTGACCTTTCCAGGCTACTAACAATATAGTATATAATTGGCAATGTGATGGCTCAAGACAATGCAAGAAATGATGACAGCCAAAATTACAAATGATCTGTTAAAAGTATGGTAGAGGTAAACTGATTATCTGGCAATATCTGTGAATGGCTTGGCTATATTCATATTAGACACAACAGGCGGATATGTAAACTCCAATGCCATGACAAAATGCAGATTTTGTTTCTTTTCTTATTGTTGCCATTATTGTATTTACTTTACATTCATGTGGTTTACAACACAAAACCGTCCTGCACAAAGTAAGCATGATGAACAGCTTTCTCAGTATAATGTTTGTGCACTGATTTCCTGTTTGTGGACAAAACTGCTTGCGAGCTCTCACATACGCTGCTCGCGCACAAATTCTCACGATATCTCAAATATGCACTGCTTACGCACAAGTTTTCTTGCTCTCAGCACACTGCTCTCTCAGTGAGATTATATGCAGACTCACAATTTGTGTCTTGTGTTCCCTCTTCCTTTCGAGCTTTTTGATATGAATTATATTAGTACACTATTTATTAACAATAACCAAAATACTAAAATAGACTCATAATTTTTAATCTAATAAATCATAACATTTTTGGCTGTATGTTATATGATGAGATATTTCAAATAAAAAGCATTTAGACAATAATAAAAACTAACGCAAGCAGAAATGTAACTAACAGAAACACTTGATAAGGTATTATAGCCTACTGTACTATTCACTCTTCAAATAAATCTCATTATCAATCACATTTTTTTATGGCAACTAAAATAAGTGAACTAGTGTCTGTTGTCTTCCACATTGTTGATGAGATAGTGGAGGACATTTTCCCTGTCATCCTCTTCATTTTGAGAAGAAGCTGTTCCACAGGGCCCCTGAACACACATATTGTGATTAAGTGCTTTAATTACCCTGTTGCGGTAATACTATAGTTGCTATGGTAACACAACAAGTGTAATATAAACAATGATCCAGTGCTGTAGTTTTTTTTTTACAATATGGGGTAGATTGTACTACAATTCACCACACTTTACTGTAGTAAAACTACACTTTATATTTAATTTCATGAGTTCACTATTCTTAATACGACAGTATGTTTAAGCATTCATTGTAAATACTAGCCTAAAACATAAGCAGTATACCTTACACTCAAAAACACTAGTATTTATTATAGAATTTAACTTAACCTGTAAGTAAATAGTGAAGCAATATATAAACCATATAAACATTATTGGGATAACAATTAGGAGGATCTCTGGAGAGCAACAGAACGAAAGGAAGAGGAAACACACGGCACAGATTGTGAGTCTGCATCATCTGACGGAGCGAGAGCAGGTCGTTAGCACGTGAGCAGCCCAGCCAGTGTTGAGTGAACGCGAGGAGTTTTGTCCACAGAGGAAACCGGCACGTTCACTCGCTCGAATTACATGAATGAGCTTACGACATTTGTCAGTGAAATAACGCCATATGCACTTACGTCCGTCTCGCGAATGCACTGTCTTATGCCATTTTCATCTATTTTCCGCTGTGCGTACTCAAACCGGGCTGAGCCAAATAGCCCTGGACCTTGAGCTCAGAAGCTGAAATCATTCCGCGTTCAAAGAAAAAAGGTCCCATAGCCAGAGGGAGATTAATGACAGCACGCGCATATATTCTCTAGCCACGAACAGGAAATAGAACTGCGGTATTTTTTATTTGTTAATGTCTTGCGGGCGAAAAGTGTGTTGTAACGCACGCGTTACTGAACATGTACAGAGTAAAATATTACTGAAAATGTATTAGTAATGCCTTACACTACTGCGTTACAGGAAAATGTAATACATTACTGTAATAAATTACTTTTTTAACACATCACTCCCAACACTGATCACGACTGATCATATAATAGATTATAAGAACAAGAAAATATGATTTAAAAGACTAAAAGAGCACGAATAAATAAAAGTTCTAACAGGAAAGTTCTGCAAGTGATCTACTAACCACTCATACATATAAGCATACGGCTGACTTCATTGCTAATTTTCTCTGTTTTGCCTTAAATTGGCGTTTGACATTGAATATGACAGAGGATTGAGTAAATGTCTGACCTCATTATTGAGCACACAGTAGATCAGGAAGATGAAGGTTCCCTGCTGAGAGTTCAGGACCAGGTAGAAGATATGTAGCACCTCACTGCTATTACTGAAGAACCCCAGAATCCAAGGACAACCCAGAACCACAAACTGACCCAGTGTTTTAAACACCATAACCCTGTGGTAAATGAGAGAAAGAACAAGATATTGTGTGTAGTTTAATGAATATGTGTTTTTATAAAGAATGAATCAGTTTGTTACTTGGTTTGCTTCATCTGTGAAACTTCAGCGTTCAGTTTTGAGAGAGCTGATTTCAGACCGATGCAGATGCAGATGAAGAGAATCAAGTTCAGCTGTGGAATACAGTAATGATCAGTTTTGTTTTGACGATTTTAACAGCTCATGTAAACATGTCTGTAACTTAAACTTACTGCTAGTATGACACAAACAGGACCCAGAAAACTCCAGATAAACCCTTTATCTGTTTTCATCCAGCATCTGATTAGAGGAAAACACAATATAATAATGATTAAATACATTTATCAACAAGAACATGGCAGTTACTGATTTTAATCGTGTGTGACGTTGTTACGAGTTGGAGCTTATAATCAAATGAACAAATAAACAACACCACTCACTGTTCACTGCCGTATCCTTCTGGAAACAACCCAATAGACACACACACCACAACCATAGCAACGACATATCCAATCACACACAAGAATCCACTGCTAAGCACCTCCTTCTTTTTGGAGCTGATTCGTGATAGGTTCTGTACACAGATGAAGAGCAGCACAGCTTCAATGAACATCCACACAAAGGCGGAGAGGAAGAGGAAGTGCAGAAGGCCTGCTATCACCACACACAACACCTGGAGAGCATGAGAGAGGGTTATGATGATTCTCAGTGCGGCTGTGCTGAGCTGTAGAGCTCCTTCATCATTCTCACCTGCTGAGGGCGAATAAGGCTCAGGAACTGTTGTGTGAGCAGCAACAGAAGGTGAGCCGACAGCAGACTGATGCAGATGTTGATTCGAGCCACATTATTGACTCCAGGACTCCACTGACAAAGAGCAAAGGACAACAGAGCCAAACTGAAGAACACCAGACCCACGATCACACACACCAGATCCAGCAGCTCCAGCAGATCACTCTGAGAAAACATGCAGAGAACATGAGTGCCAGATCTGTGCTGCTCTTCAATGCTCTCTAGAAATGTTCTGGTACCGGTGATGGACTGCTGCTGGTCTGCATGATGAGAGCGAATGTGGACAGATGAACACAGGAACACACAGTGTGGCTGCTGTTGCTGTTTAACACAGAACAACCATCTACAATCCACTCGCTGATATTCCAGTACACACAGGACAGAGAACCGCTGGGCTCAAACTCCTGCAAGAAGAAGAAGAAACGAGCAGAAAATATGAGCAGAGTGAATATTAGATGTGTTCAGATGTTGATCAGTGCTGATGTTGGACTAAAACACATTTCAGTCTCTCACTCTGATGTGTCTGAAGGTGAAGTTGACTGCTTTGGTGAGTGCAGTGTTGCTGGTTTTGGGAAGAGTAGCTGAGATCACAGTGGACATCATGGTTTTAATGGTGTCATTAGTTGTGTTGAAGAAGTCGGCCTTCAGTAGATTCTCCATTGTGGTGTAGCTCATGAAAGCCACAGCAGCAGATCCTGTGAGACAGAAACAGAGGCTTACATGCAATATTATATGGAAATAGAAAAAGTCAAAAGAGTAAATGTGGTTTAGTGGTGGTGAAATGAGGTTTCATTATACATAAAACACTGATTACACCAAACATTCAACTCACTGTCATTGTTGTTCTTGGCGATGCCAATAAGATCGATGTCTACAGAAGAATTTGTTGTGTCAAGTTGAGGGATTTTATCTAAGGTCACCTGTGGTCCAACCATGAAGACTTGTCCCTCTGATTACAAACAAACATGATGTTATGCTAATTTACTTTACTAATTCAGAGATTTCTAAGTTTTAAAATCAAATGGTTAAATAAGATAACACTACATCACTGAGCCAGTCACACCAATGAAGTCATGACATCATGAAACCTTCTTCTGCTCTCAGAATCCCTCCAACAACTGATTTTTTTAGAAATCAACTTCAAATGTGTAAGAAGACCCAAAACTCATCTAGAAGTGGAGGTTCCCCATGAGTTCAGGCCATTTTAGGATGTTCATTAAGCAGCAGGAAACCAATCGTTCACCACATTGACATGGAGCTACTGCCCGAGGCAACACAAGTTACTCAGTGTATACCCTGTATATTGGATAGGTATTGAAACAAGCATCCTTTGTACTTTGAGTCAATCACAGCAGCCCAAAGTCAAACATCAAGCATTACTAACACTTCTGTTTTTTTGCTGACCCAGAACAGCTTTGTAGAACTCAAATCTTCACAAAACTGAATTTAAGGATCACCTCTCCAGTGTCTATGAGTACCAGCTGATGCCATATGGGCTGGTCAACCCATTGATAATCTTTCAAAGGTACATGAATAAAGCATTCAATGAGTTCCTGAAGCACTTTGTTGTGGTTTACATCAATGTCGTATTGATTTACTGCTAAAGGAT